TCTAAAAAAAATTAATACTAAAAGTCACGAACTTTTCTTAGATGTTACTCGCTGTAGCATCTCAAAAAATATCTTTTTTTGAGAAGCTCTTTAAAATTGTCATGTCAAACATACCACTAAAAACCTTTAGAGACTTTTTAAAAATTACAAAAGCTAGAAGACACAGACTTATATCTGCCACGTACTAGGTCTACTTTGAGACCTTTGGTCTCACCTTCTCCTCAGTGTCTATGTTGATTTTTGAATAATTGGTTTTACTTTAAATTGCTCTCCCTTCCCCATTGGGTAGGGTGTTAATAGACCCCTCTCCATTTGATTAATGTTGGCTCACAAATTAATGAATATCGTTTGATGTACACATATTTTATATCACCACTCGTCTGTATACAAGATAGCTTCTTAATAAATTACGTTATAAGTAGACAATTAGAAAACGTACACAAAATGTGTATAAAATATACTCCTATATGTACCAATAGTATTTGTGCACACTCTCCATTTATGTGATAATAACGTGGTTTCTGATAATGAGCTATCTCATGCCAATGGACCTACATATTGCATTTGCCATTTCTTTTTCTTTTTTTAAACTTCTGCGTAGTTTTATGAACCATTTAAATGTATGGGCACATGGACCAAGCACAATGCACCACGTGCCAAAACCCCTACCGCATTTTATATCCTGGGATCGGCACACCATGAGGACGGTGTGCCCGATCCCAAAACGGTGTAGTTTTATACGGAGTATTAAAAAATTGATGAGCTCGATCGAAGGTACATCTCTGTCCGAATATGGCACACTTGCTCCTGAACTGAAATTCTACTCATAGAACTCCCGTCTCCATTAATGGAGGAAGAACCTCTGAATTTCTGAAGCTATTGGAAATAATTGAATGGTAAGTTTTCTTCTTATTTCTTCTCCTCCTCCATGTCCTCCAGGAAGATTTATGCATTTCATTTTAAAATTGAAAGCAAATTCTTTTGATTTGATTTAATATTATTCCAATTCAGATTAATCTGAATTTTTCCATTCTCCTAGATGTTGATTTCACAAGTTACATCTCCTTGTTCTCAAGTTACATTTGAATAGGCTAAAGTTACATTCACAAATTACATCTGACTTGTTCCCAAGTTACATTTGAATCAAAACAGTTTATATTTGAATGAGTGTAATTTACATCTTGATAAACTTGAAGTTACACGTGAATTAACATGATTTACATTACATATAACCTTGGGAGCAGGATGTTCACCCTGCACCGCTCCCACGGTATAGCAACTGAACCCCTATGGTTACATACTTATATTTGAGATGATTTATCCTTATTATTCCCCCAGTTGTTATACCGTGGGATCATCCCACGATGAGCATCCTACCCCCACATATAAAATGGTGTCATTTAGGTTTAATTTAACAAAATTCGCGTGAACAGTACTCTTACATTTGTCTAATTTTTTTCGTGATGTAAATCCTTTGTATTGATATGTAACTCGCGTTATTGTAAAATGTAAATCCTGTGTTTTCAAATGTAACTCACGCGCTGGAGTATGTAACTTGTTTGACTCATTTTTTTAAAGAGTAACTTGTTTTACTCTCTCAACTTGTTATGCCACTTGAAATATAATTTTATAAAATTATTTTTATAAAAATCGGTCTATATTTTTTATTCTATAAAAATGATTTTTTATAAAAATAATTTTTCTTTGAATAGAAGGAGCTTATTTTGTTGTGTAACTCGCATTATATTGCGGTGTAACTCGCATTATAAAAATGTAAATCACGTGTAAGTGAAATGTAACTTGTTGAGAAAAGTTGACATGTAACTCACGCTTATAAATATGTAACTTTAAGCGAATTCAGATGTAACTTGAGTGTGTTCAAGATGTAAACTGAGAAAAATAATTCATAGCAGTCATCTTCAACATGTGAATTGTATAAAAAAATCCAGTTGAGTTCTTAAAAAGTACTACGTAATAAGCAAAATTCATAAGCAAAATTCCAATGAGTTCTCTCAGCAGCTTTCTTTGAGAGTATTAGATGAAGAGATGTTCTCTTAATGAATAATTAAACCCTAAGTGCGCACAAAATATCAAAGGGAATAAGTTGAGAAGTTTTTGTGAACAGAGCATAGCTTCGATGGACTGCAGGGATGAGATTGACGCATCAAATATGTCATCAAGGTTGAGCGCCGCAGCCGCCGCAGCACCAAAGCTGCGCCGCTGCACTGTTGCACCGCTGCGCCGCCGCCTCGAGGATGAGCAGTTGGACCACCGCCACTTTCTCGCCGGCGAGTGTCATGACCAATTTCCGATGCTCTCTCTCGAAGGAACACTCATAGCTTCTTTAATCCGGCGTAATAACAACGGTGATACCAGCTTTTTTAATTAATACAGAGCAAAACTATGTCGTTTTGGGATAGGTGCATGGGAATGATGCACCTATTTTGTGCTTTTATGGATCACTTCTTCACCAAAAGCACTATCAGATTAATATGGACTATATATAACACCAATTTAACACCGATGCTAACGAGATAAGTATATGGGGTTTCCCCTTAATATATTACTAAATTGAACTACATTTCCAAAAATGTGAGTAGTTTTAAAAATTGACAAAAAAGTGATTAACAAGGTCATATATTAGGAATTGAAAAACATGATGTCACTGTAAAAATTTTATGTCAATGTGTTCGTTTTTTCCTGTCACTAAGGGTGGTCACGATCAAAAAATTTCACACCAATTACACCACCACCGCCACAGTGACACCGTCATAGTATCGCCGCTACAGTGACGCCACCACAGTGACATCTGTGCCACCGTCGATGTCACTATCACCTGCCGGAAATGTAAATTTCAATCAAAACCGGCTGCCACCCCGATGCCACCGCCACTGCCACCTCCCCAACCCCCCACACCCGCACTCAGCCGCCTCACACCTGGAAACTGCCGCTATTGTCCTCGGCCACCAACAGTGACCACATCAGCCTTTTCGCCCGACAACCATCCACAGTGACACAAAATTACTCTGGTCACTGCCCTCCGGTCACTTACCACCACTTCCTCCCCTACACCACCGCTAACAGGCCCTTGCACCACAACTCCCAAGCCCCTGCACCACTGACACAGTCCAAAACCACCGTCAGTTCCCCACCACCGCTGCACCAGCCCCCTCCCCGACCTTCCAGCCGCCGACCCAACCCCAAGCCAAATCTCTGTACAAAAACGAAAAGAATGGCTAGATAAGAAGATGAAGAAGAACCAAATCTAAATCAATCTAGCTATGGCGACGAATAGCAGTGAAAGCGTCGTCCCTACTGTAGCAATTGCGTCCTCACCGCCCATCTACCCCAAACCCTAGCTGCCGCGAGTCTGTAACCTAGCCACCGCAGAAGAGGAGCAACCGAATGGAGCAGAGGGAGTCACAGATCTGGATTGTTCTTCGATGATGGAGCCTCTGGAGCTTGTGCGGAGGTTTGGGCGGAAGAGGAAGATGAAAGCGTAAGTTGAAAGGGGAAGGTGGGATACGTAAAAAGTCAGGTCACTTTTTAGTAATTTTTAAAAGTGGTCATATTTTTGTCCAATAGAAGGTGAGAAGTAATACTGGTGCCATTGTTTTTAAGTATATTTAAGTAAAAGTACAATTATTTTTTATTCAAGATGGAGTGTAACAAATTAAGTAAAAGTACACTTTAAAACTTTTAATTTATACTACTATTAGATATTTGCTTTCAAGGAGAAAAAATTAATGCTTGATCTTTAATTTGAACAAAACCGGCAAAATGTCAAAGAGGAGAGAGAAATGTGTTTTGCACATTATTAAATACTACCCATTTTAACTTCCAAATGGGATTGGCACAAAGTTTAAGATAGTGAATATTGTGTGGTGGAAAGTTGTGCAGAGGAGAGAGAAATGTGTAAGAAATGTTGTGAATCACAAATTCTTTACCAAAAAGGGAAAGCGAAAGTTTTAATTGGAACGGACGAAAAAGAAAAATTGGAAGTTTATTCAGGAACGGAGGGAGTATTGATTTCCCTATTTGCCTCATATAGTAAGATTTTTAGAGTAATTATTATGATGAGTACATTTTACGTAACAAATTGAATGTTTTTATTAATAATTTATTACTCAAACGTTACCTCTGTACGCATCGTATCACTAGTACAATAATTAAATATTCACCAGCTTGATCTTTTCAAATTTAACAAGAAACGTAACGAACGCATCCTATATTCCTAATCATTTATCTGATCATCTCATCCAAAGCTACGGTAATCAAGTGGAATAATATAATACTCTCTCGGTCCTGCAATGAACTTCCCACTTTTTTTTTTGGATGTCCCGGAAAACAGTGCCAAATAGTGTCGAAACAATGCAAAACATCGTCAAATAGTGTCAAAACAATGTCAAAACATTAAAATTTACCTCAACATAAGTTTATTTCCTTAGTATGTGTGTATGTCAAACTGTAAAGTTAATTATGGGACGGAGGGAGTATAATTTTATTAATAAATACTCCGTGCTAACTGCTACGTATGAAATAATGAAAATCGATCTTTTTCCCGGATATTTCAGATACAACGTTACTAGTCAGGAGAGTACGTTCAAGTTCAACCCAAAAAATAGTTCAATCAACTAGACAAAACAAAGAGAGTTCAAAACATGGTTACTTCCTCCGTTCTAAAAAGGTTGACCAAAGTTGACTTTCAAGTGGATTGATAAAGTGAAAATCGTGATTGAAATTTGTGCAGAGAAGACATAATTAATTTTAGGAAATCACAAATCTTTTTAGGACATCCTGAAAATTTGGCCAACATATTCGGCCATCATATTTTTTTGATGTATAAATATTTATATTCGGCCATCATATTTTTTTTGATGTATAAATATTTATAAACTCAACAGATCCAAACACAGAGATACATATATATACATACATATACATATAGATAGATATAGGCAATATAGAGAGAGAAAAAACAGAGTACATAAATAACTGACCTTGTTGAAAGACGCCTTCTCCACGAGTTTCTTCACGAACATTATGTTCGGCCGGGATGGATATTCCGATGGAATCTGATTGCTCGGGGCTGGACTGGGAAGAGAAATGAGATTGCAGTTCAAACGGGTTGACTCGCTGATTTGGATTTGGACAAGAGGGGATGGCAGGTTGGTCGGCTCGGCCTTTTTATAATCAGTTTCGACACGTGGCGAGCCGACGGGAGATCCCTATATTATTGCGACAAAGAAACGGCTTGGACGGTCTAACCGCTTCTCAATTCGAACCAATCATATCAGGACTTGTGCTCAATTCGAACCAATCATATCATGAGTTATGAGTCTCTTATAATAAGCTCGTTTTAGACTAAGAGTATGTTTGACACAACTAGCTGAAAAGATACTTTTATGAATTTTTTAGTATCTGTTAGCTTTTAGTGACTGAAAAGATCTTAAAAATAAAAGACAGTAGCTGTTTGGTAAAAAGTTAACTGCTTGATTTAACTCTGTTTGGTATACAAGCTGTTAAGACTACTTAATGCTAGAAGTTACGGACTTATTTGAGATGCTACTCACTGTAATATATATCTCAAAAAAGATCTTTTATTTTTATAAAAGCTCTTAAAAATTGGCGTGCCAAACATACAACTAGAAGCTTTTAAAGACTTTTTAAATAGTACAAAAGCTAGAAGGCAGGAACTTATGTCCCCTGCCAAACATAGCCTAAGAGGCCATTTGACAACACTATTTTTTATCTCATCAGGCTTATCAGTCAACTTTTTCACCAAACACATAACTTTTGCTTTCGCACGCTGAATTGTTTAATAAGCAGAAAAAGTAAGGTTGAAATTACTTTTCTGGCTGTATTGGTTGAAGTTACTGTATATGACCATTTTACCTATTTTTACATATAATTTTTTCTTTATTTTATTAATAAAATATATTTTAAAAATAATTTTTTCTTAAAACAACGGAATCAGTCAATGCAGTCACTTCAACCAGAACTTCATACATTTGAACAGAATCAACCAAATCGACCGATTTTTGTGCTACCAAACGGGCTCTAAATGTTGTATAATTTCTTCAAAGTTATTAGAAGAGTTGAAACTAATTTAAGTGGAACAAATCATTCATTCATATGCTTAACAATTTTGACGCAAAAAAACTTGTGATTCACTCACTTTTTTTGTAACACTTCCAAGAATGTCACAAGTTCAGAACTTATCTCAATCAATCAAGGAGGTTGACATTTAACAGAATATATATTACTCCCTCTGTCCCGGAATAATTGTCCTGCTTTCCTTTTCGGTCCGTCCTGAAATATTTGTCCTATTTTGAAACCTTCTTTATTTGGTAAACAAATCTATACGAAACAGTGTCAAACAGTGTCACTACAGTGCCAAACAGTGTCGCCACAGTGTGAAGTCAACTTCATTTTCTTAATCTGTGTGAAGGTCAAAACCAGACGATTAATTCGGGATGGAGGGAGTACATTTTGACGAAAGAGCATATATACATGAATTAGAACAAAGTTGTGCAAATGCCAAAACTTTCTTCCTAATTAGAAATTGCTTTGTAATTAGAGATTTATTTAGAGACTATAACAATACTTTGAAGAGATCTAAAACACAAAAAACTTGTATTCATTAAAACATATTTGAGCTTATGAATACTGTGACTTTTTTACAATAAAAAATTAAACAGCATACATTTTTCTTCATTAACTATTAAACTTTTCTATTTGACGATCTTAGAATTTGTCACTCCCTTAATTAGAAAAACGAGTCTCTAGTTTAGCAAACCTTAAATGATAGAGTCCAGTTCTTATAATCCATTGCTAATGTCAAATTAAATTCTTTCAAAAATGTCAAATTAAACAACCGAACAGTAGAATTTCAATTCCGTGTGATGAGAGTAAAGAATATAATGATATGATTCTAAATTCCAAACTTTGCTCTATATATAGATATAAACATATCACAATAATGATGCAAAAAATGAATAAGGACTGAACGCCTTTTAGAAGAATAACAATAAAAAGATAATTAATTATATTCCTTTATAAAATAATGACCGAAATAAAACTATAAATTAATATACAGATGTGATGTACAGAATGTGACCACATTAATGATTAAAGGTATTAATTAAATACGTACGGAGCATCTTTTATATAAACTCGTAAATTAATCCTACTTTTTCCCAAAATATTGACTAAATTAAATATGATTAAAACAAGGGTAATGAATAAGAATTTGACATTCTTTCAAAATGAAAAGAATTTGGCATTTTATATGCATTGATAATAACTTTTGGCAATTAGTTGTGATCATGTTAGTGCTACTAACTAATCGTTGTCATATGTTAGTCTATTTTCAGACTAAATCTCATGAGACAAAAAAAAAAGAAAAAAAAAGAAAAAAAAAACTAAATCTCATGAGACAGTTTCTCCAAATAGGAGTAAAATGTAGAGAGTACAAATATGAGTAATTATGTGTTATTTCTAAAATAAGACTTATTTGATTTTATGAAAAGTAAAACTAGAAGTGAATGAATTTATTTTAGAAAAAACAGTGATAATCCTAACTTCGTCTATATCTTACATACTTATATTTTGGAAAAATCTTTTCACCCTCATTTTCCCAAACTTGTGTCTCTGCATTGCATCTATTTTCTCAACCAACTTAGAGGCCATTTGAAGGACCAAAAAATGAACCGATAAGCATGAAAATACAAAAAAGTCGCCAAACACTCTATCATTCATTAAAAAATTGCAAAAGAGGGTTGATCACATGAGTTAATGAGGCTTAATGATGGCTGTTGAAATGGATTTGTGTTCATTGTTATGGTTAATAACGATATTAAGGCAGGAAGTTATTTATTTTGAGCTGATCAGCATTAATGACAAGTTGTGAAATCGTCGGGTCGGAACCGTCAAGTCAAACCGCCCGTAACGGACAACTCGAGCTAGTGGAGCATTTGCAAGGCCTAATAACAATTATTGTAACGTCTTTATGTATTATCAGCCTCTTTAATGTGGTTAATGAATATATTGATTGTAATTGACCGGCCTTTATGACAGATTTGAAATATCATTGAGCATGGTTGGCGGTAATCCTTTGTTGACAGAGTTTCATGCGCAGTTGGAGTCGGCAAAGGAGGAAATCTGACGAGAAATGGCGGAACGAATGGCCCATCTCCAACGGGAGAATGATCTGCTCCGATCCCAAGTCCAATCAGCGGTATCAATCGCCTCCAGTTCTAGAGGCAACCGGAGAAACAATATCACGCCCGTCGGAACACGATTGGAATTGGATTCCATTCCGGCAATGATGGAATCACCTATCATCACCACTGAACCCGTCTCTCTCACATTGGGCCTCTCACCTTCCGGAGATTCGCAACCTACAGTCATCTCTCAGGTCATCCCTTACACACCTCTCGTCCCTGGGACGACTCCCCTTCCCAGCATACCGACTTGTTTCTTTCCGGAGTCCCTTCGCCCCGGACCAAGAACGACAGGCTTGCACTCGGCCACCCAAAGCCTACCAATGGCTTCGGCCGTATCAACCCTGACGGAACCGTATGTCCCTCACTACAAAAGCAGAACTCATGGTGAGCTCGGTCCGTCCAACTTCATGCAGAATCGTAGACGGAACATCTTTGACGACCTGCCACCTGAGGTTCAGACACAACGACCGCGTAGACCTGTCAATTTAATGGATGAGAATTGCGGGGGGCGACGTCCGGAAGTCATAGTCATTCCATCACCAACCCATCCCGACGTTACACGACCAACGATTTTAACTGGAGGACTACTTCAACCAGGTGTGGCAGATACAATGTCTATGATGACGGACCAATTACGTCAGATGCAAGAAAAGATCAACAGGTTACAAGGAGTGCCCCCACCTTTGGATCGAGCATCACGAACATGTTATGCAGACTCCCCCTTTAGCAGACATATCACCGATGTGGAAATACCAAGAAAATTCGCCACACCATCAATGAAGATGTTCGATGGAACGTTTGATCCGCTGGAACATGTTGCTCAATACAAGCAGTGAATGCTCGCCGTATCGCTTCATCCAGATAAAAAAGAAGCATGCATGTGCCGAGGTTTTGGAGCGACACTATCTGGTCCCGCCTTAACATGTTTCGTCAACCTGCCAAATGGAGGGATTAACTCGTTTGCGGAACTAGTTGACGCGTTCAACCAACAGTTTGCAAGCAGTCGAGTTCTTGAGAAGCAGACAAGCGATCTTCACAGAATCATCCAGCGTCGAGACGAGTCACTGAGAGACTATCTGCATCGCTTCAATAAAGAAAAATTGTCAATTTCCAGGTGTGACGTTTCGACAACAGTGAAAGCATTTCAGAGGGGTTTAATCGACGATTCAGAACTGTACAGAGAACTCACTAAATACCCCTGCAGAACATTCGAAGATGTCCAGGCAAGACCTTAGCTTTCATCAGGCTCGAGGAGGACCAACAATCACGGCTTCGACAAGATGGATATGACAGGGGGCAACATAAATCCAAAACGTCCAGGAAGCACGATTACCGGACTGACAAACCCTATGCTAGAACCGAGGATTGGCCAGTAGCATCAATAGCAGGATGGCTTGATGATCCAGATTTGCCACCCGTCATCACCGATTACTGCTTCAATGTCACCACCTTGGGACTCATCCACTCTTCAGAGAAGCTGGGGGAATGATAAGTCCGTATTTAGACATGCATTTGATGTGTATTGGGATCGGGTTTGATGGTTTTCCCTATCTTTAAGGTTTTACAAGTCTCAATTTTAGCTCAAGTTATGTTTACCGGGCGTTGGTTCGAGTTTTGTGTCATTTGGAGTCAAAATGAGGATTTTAGAGTTCGGCACCGGCGCTTGAGAAGAAATCAGGATGAGTTGAGAAGCATTCGAGAGTGATTTGAGAGATTTGGACGTCACCGGGAGGTTCACGATCAAGATTTTGAAGGAAAAAGAGCTCTAGGATTGGCTACGGGATCAAAAGAAGATGAATGGAGCTTGAAATCGGCGATCAAGGTGACCTTCTGTCAATCGTTCAAGCATCTCTTTGTAGAAACATTCAATGTACACGATTCAAAGTCCATATGAAAGCTAACTTCAAGGGCTACAAATACTATGAAGACACGTTTGCTAGAATCTGATAGAAAGAAGGTGAAAACAGACGATGAAGTCAGA